TGCTCCTTCACACCGTCTGCGGTGTCAACCATACTCTTCGGATGGCAAAGTCCTTAATAAAGAGACGAGGCTCTGATACCAATTGAAAGGATCGATATAGTTGACTAGAGGGGGGGGGGGGCGGTGAATAGGCAACTAACACTTTTTAATCTTTTCTTTACCAATTTAAACTTTGCATCAAAGAATGTTGTCTAGATATGCAACTATGTGAGCAACCTATATGATGCAATAACAACTAGCACATAAGCAAGCAAGAGAAACAACACTAATAAGCTTGCACAAGTAAAGGCATGAGATAACCAAGAGTGGATCCGGTGGAGACGAGGATGTGTTACCGAAGTTCCTTCCTTTTGAGGGGAAGTACGTCTCTGTTAGAGCGGTGTGGAGGCACAATGCTCCCCAAGAAGCCACTAGGGCCACTGTATTCTCCTCACGCCCTCACACAATGTGAGATGCCGTGATTCCACTATTGGTGCCCTTGAAGGCGACGACCGAACCTTTACAAACAAGGTTGGGGCAATCTCCACAACTTAATTGGAGGCTCCCAACGACACCACGAAGCGTCACCACAATGGACTATGGCTCCGAGGTGACCTCAACCGTCTAGGGTGCTCAAACACCCAAGAGTAACAAGATCCGCTAGGGATTAGTGGGAGGAATCAAATTTCTCTTGGTGGAAGTGTAGATCGGGGCCTTCTCACCCAATCCCGAGCAAATCAACAAGTTTGATTGGGTAGGGAGAGAGATCGGGCGAAAATGGAGCTTGGAGCAATAATGGAGCTTAGGGTTAGAAGAGGTGAGTCTTCTTGGAGAAGAAGACCCCCTTATATAGTGGGGGGACAATTCCAACCGTTACCCACCACTCAGCCTGCGACCCGCCATACTACTGCATCAGAGGAGCGGTACTACCACATGGGCCTGTGGTACTACCGCGGTGGACCGTGGTACTACCGTGGGCCCGGTAGAGCCTAGATCTGAACAGAAGAGCACAGACAGGGCGCGGTAGAACCGCAGGCACAGTACTACCGCGGCCCTATGCAGTACTACCGCAGAGCAACCACAGGCCAGGCACGGTAGGCATAGATGTAAAAAATTACATCTGTGACTACCTCCGCTAATATATTATCGAGCGAAAATCTGACACATTGCTACCGCGAACCAGGGGTGCGGTACTACTGTGAAGGGTGCGGATGTAAAAATTACATCCGCCCCTACCTCCGCTCCTGCTGTTGTACCTGGCCAGGCGACACGGTACTACCGCGCCGCAGCATGGTATTACCGCGTTGGGCGCAGATGTAAAAAATTACATCCGCCCCTACTACCGCTTGAGCAGCGGCGCCAGGCCAGAACTCACAGTACTACCGCTTAGGAGGAGCGGTACTACCATGGAAGCCCACAGTACTACCGTGCCGGAGCCCGGTACTACCGCTGGCTCCTGCGGTAGTATCGCTCAGAGGAGCAGTACTACCGCTAGCCTGAGAAGAGCAACTCGGAGTCCTTCATTTCGTAGAGACAAGGTGAGACGGAGGAAACTCCAAAGAGCCAAAGGAAAGGCGGTGCAAAAGGGGACATGTACGTGAGATTCCACCCAAACCTTTCCAAAGCGGACCCCCTCTTAATAGTACGGCTTTCCTACGACTCAGCTCCACCGAAAAGAACCGTAGAAAAACGCCGTCTTCAATAATCTTCGAGGGGTATCAAATCATCTTGTGTTTAGTCATGATATATCTAAAAAACTCAATACACACGATTAGTCCGCAAAAGCATTGTCATCAATCATCAAAACTACTAGGGGACAAGAATGCCCTTACACGAAGGTTTCATTTCGTTTGGACTCAGTTTGATATTCCTTTTCTTCCAAACACTGAAATAGGCAAAAAAACAGCAATACGGGCTGGGTCTCCGGTTAGTAGGTTAGTCCCAAAAATGATATAAAAGTGTAAAGTAAAGCCCATAAACATCCAAAACAAGTAATATAATAGCATGAAACAATCAAAAATTATAGATACATTGGAGACGTATCAAGCACCATGCAAATGAATGGGCAATAATAGGCATATTTTGTCCGGCTTTCTAGTTGGACCATTTCAAAAGGTATAAACCCCAAGAAAAAACAAGTAGTTATAAGATAGATGGTACTTGAGGGTTGACCACTTCTTATTTCAAGGCTACCGGGTTCCCCGAATTAGATGAAAACTAAACATTGGGAGCTTAGTAAAAAGTTGTTGGTCTAAAATGCCAATGATAGTTTCCCTCTTGATTAGATGCTACAATATACATGAAAATCACATCACGTTAGCCGATGAGATCTTGTGAAAGCCATAAACAACCTATTATGGAAAGTAGCTTACGACTTTGTCAAAGTCAGTAAAAGGCACAAGAGGTCCACACATGGTCTTATGGTCATCAAGAAAGGTGAGTCATGGGGTATTGGGAGGGGGGCTCCCTTCGGGATGTTTTTAAGGTTACTCAATCAAGCTATTACAAGGGACCAAAATAATAAAAAAAGGGTTCCAATGAGATGCAAAAGCACACACAAACTAGAGGATCTTCATATGATAAAGGACAGGGTTCTATGGCTGATGGAAGAGTGGAACACTATCCATGATGACACTCACTCACAGAAGGTCCGAGTTGCTGAGCGTTGGCGGTCGTCAAATGAAGGATGGATTAAAGCAAACACAGATAAATGCCATGTCAAAGGCGGGTGATTTCGTTGGTGGAGGGGCGGTCCCGAGAGACCATCATGGAGCTTTCCGAGCGGGAGCACACCATTTCCCCTTCCATTTTAGATCCTGAGCTAACTGGGCTCATGGCGTGCAGACGCACTCTTCAACTAGCGGACGACTGGAAACAGACCCACAAGCTACTGTCTTCAAGATCAACGCATCAACGAGGGATCTCCCTGCTAATGGGCATATGGCGGACGAGGTGAAGGAACTTGGTTCCAGGTATCGCCGACATGTGTGAGCAAAGAGGTAGCCTCAGAGTGTCTTAGACCTTTTTAATAAAGTGTAGCAATTCCAACCCAGAAAAGGATTCTAGATTCTAAATTCTAAAAATAGAATATGAGGGAGGTAAAAGTCTTTCGGCGCGCCTGTGTGACATCGTAAGCCACGTTTCACAAATCCCA